TATTGCTAAATATAGCCAGAGTTGACCAATCCGCGAGAATATTACTATTTTTTTATTTTCTACTATAACACCTACACCTATCCTATATCTTCTTTGCTTGTGCTTGTGTGTGTTTGTCTGTTGACAACGATAACCGCAATATATAATATTATTATACTAACACTATCGTGACGTCGGTGTATTATATTATATTTAAAAATAATAATGTGTTTGGGACGTTACTGAAATATTAAAATGCTCAACAGTCGTTGCTTTTTTGGTATTCATCACCACCACCTGATGGCCACAGCACACGTGTTGCCTGTCCATATAAATTGTATATATATAATATGTTCTCCTGTGAACGCGTGGCAAGTACGTGATTTTCATTTTCAAACGGGGTTCATATTATTAATTCTTTTACTATTTCACTGAGACAATCGAGTATTTTCTGTCGCCAATTGCCAATTTACACAACAGGTGGTGGTGGCCAACCACTCAAGTATTACAATTTTTAATTGTCTGCACTGTTCAAAACTTGATGTACAGCACAGTGCGCTCTAAACAAAATATCGAAAACCGTTAACAAAAACGTTCAATCACAGATATACATGTATTAATAATAAACCAGAGCCAATGGAGATAATTAAAGTTACCATTTCCGCCGTCTTTGTGGGAATTACGGAACCTTGTCACGTCATACAATTACAAGTTATTATAAGTTGATAGCGCAGAATCACAGATATAATTAATATAATATATTATTTTATTCTATACACACACGAATCAGTGTGACCACATCAAAAGAAAAAAAAATCCTTCTGTCGCGCAGTGTAGTCTGTGTCACACCGTCGACCAGTCGCGTTGATCAGACAACTTGTTATCAGTGTTTCTTATCAGTTAACGTTATTATTGCAGTAGGTAGTACTTCCGAAGACATCTCGCAGGCGAATCGAGCCTTTTACCAAATAGTTAGTCATTCGTTTATTTACAACGACAATTATTCCAATCGTGTTTTAGAACGCATTTTGTTTAATGAAAATTCTCGACCTTCGTGGGTTAATCACGTTGAAAAAAAAAGTGATATAAAAATCACTCGCACTAATTAATGTCGTCGAAGGGCAAATGTATTAATTTTAACTTGGTCGGGTTGCCAGTTATTATTATTATTTTTTTTTTTTACATAAAATTTCAGAATAAATTCGAAAGTGGTAAAACTTATTTGTCTACCTATGATATGATGTTGCCTATATTTTGCCCCTTAACAAACGGGCTCAGCGTGAGCTCGAATCGAATGCTCGTCTCTCTCTAAACTTACCAGAGACGTGTGTAGTGTGTTATTATTGTGTTGGGCGTGTGGGAAAATCTAAACGATCCGTTCGTCCATTGTTGTTCGATTATCCGATGATGTAGTTGTTGTTTTTTGAACTCGTTAAAAAGCCATTAAACGATTTTGCTCTTGCCGGACCCGAATGGACGCCTCCGAGTGGTTCAAAAAGGTTTAGGTTGGTTAATATATTATACTTAAAGCGTTTCGAATATCCGACAAATTGTGCCAATTTCGAAAATATGCCAAACGTCTGTACAACACTCACAGTATTATAAGACCTGACCCGTTTACGCTGTCGACGATGTGCACTGATGTGAGACAAATCATGGAAATTACAAATAATGCAAAAAAAAAACAAACCGGATAAATGTGACATGCGCGTTTCATATTAATTGCAATCGACTTTTTTAACGTCGATAACCGGTTTTTTTTAGTAATTTAAACTTTAATAACTTCAGTTATCGTTCAAAACCGATCTGAGCCACACTCGCGATTAGGTTAGGAAAGAGAAAAAATAAAAAAAATTGTAATTATTTCAACTGTTCAATAATGGATCACCCTGTATAATAAGCCTGTGATTTTTCTTTGTAGGCTTTCCCTGTGTTTATATACTATACAGGGTGATTCATAAATGATAAAATACCGATTTTCTATTAAAATAATAACGCACGTTTTTTATAGTTTACCAACTATTTGTCATCAGTTTAAATTTTAAAAAGTCAATAAAACACCACTTGTACTTTGTTACTGTTTAAGTTAAAGTCGATTAGAGCTCCGGGGTAAACACTTAAAGAAATAGTAAATACCTACTTGGATGGTTGTATATGTAAAATATGAAGGTAAAGCGTAACTACAACAATATAGCTACATTGTTTAGTTTTGTACCTGAAAATCAAAACAATATTTAAACTATAAATATTTACAAGTTTATTAAAAATCAATTAAATAACCTCAAACGTGACAGTGATGTTTTATACAATGCCCCCAAAGAGGTTGTAAATCTATTGATACCATAACCATAATACATACTTTTTAATTAATTTTAACAAAATATATTAAACAGGACTAAAATTATTGCTCGTCGAGTATAGATTTACACATAAATAATATTACCACGGTCCATGGGCTAGAAAATAGAGAATACCAAATTTAAGAATTTTGAGAACACATTTAATTATAGGAAGGTTTCTTCGTGGTTAATGCTCTTAAAACGAATTTGTTATGTCTCGGTTGTACATAAGTAAACAGTAAACTTGAAAAAATCTACTATTTCGACGGTTTTGAACAATTATCAGACATCATTCACCAACATTTGTTAAGGATTTAACTATTGTTTATTAAATTTAACAGTTAGGTTACCACTAGATATCGAATTATACATTACTCTAATCATTGAGATTTGAATATAAAATTATAATATATTATCACTTATCGGTTATCACACATTTCGCGATAACCAATGAGAACGCCGGAATCAAGGTAACCAAACATTGGTAACCCAACTAACATTTTTGTTAACCCAACAAGCATAGAATTTAATGATAACAGATAATAATGTCGCGGCGAGAAACTCACTTGATTTGACCAGATATGTTAAATTTAAACAAAAAGGTCAACTAACATTACATATTGTGTTAAGAATGTATTTAATGTTATAATGGTCGGTATCGGTCGGGGAAACCGGCTGAGAATATTGGCCAGCTTTTTTTTTCCACATAAACCTACCTTACTCCACCGCGTTGTTGTGCACACATGCCAAGAGTTGCCGTTCTGTTTCCCCTATTGTGTTTCTTTTTTTTTTTTTTTAAATATAAAAAAACCGACCTGGCCCCCCGGACCTCTCTCCCCCTCTCCTCCCACCCCGTTTTGCGGCGGCGACGTTAACGCGGTGGGCGGGGCCGGGGCGTCCACGACCGGTACACCAATCGCCGCGGTGCGCACAGATTCACTCGGTATACATATTATAATATATATATATTATTTTTGTATATCTATTTTACACACGCTGTATAATATAGTGTGTAAAGGTATTATACAACAATATAAGTAGACGGCGGGGGGGGGGGGCGTATAGTTAGGCGCACTTCCTGTTGTCGTTTTTTATTATTACTTTTTTTCCCTATACTTTTATTACACGTTGATGATGACGCCGCCGTTTAAGGACCGATTTTCCTCGACCTAGCCGATTTATTTGATTTTTTTTTTTTTTGTATTTCCACCGCACCCAATAGTGTTATTTATTTTATCTATCTCTCACACTCGCACACACTTGCACGCACGACCGTCTGTAAGTCCAATGATTTATGCACAGATAGGTAGGTAGGTAGGTAGGTAGGTACACAATGACTGGATGGAATATAATTTGAATACATTTCGACAGTGGTAAAAATATAGAAGTAAAAAACCAAAAAAAAAACCAAACCGAACCGGCACTAAGGTCCACCGAGCACCACACAGCTCTGCTGGGCCGTACACGACAAAAGCGCACAGCCGTGAAATAAATAATATACAGAGATTTCCATATCTGTTTGATTAATTTTTGCTTTTTTTTTCCCTCCCATATTGTTGCGAATAAACGTTCCAATGATTTTCTCTCGACGCCATTTTTCGATTGGGAAACGTACCTGCTACCTATTGTTATTGTTATTATTATTTATTATAGCCAATAACACGGTCCATCGGTTCGACGTGGTCGCTGTAAACGGATTTTCGCACAACACCTCCGATTCGGATCTCATTTACCACCTACTTGTACATTCGCACAAGAAAACAATAACAATATCGTTAACTAATAATAATAATCATTTATTCGCGGCTAGTGCGCGCAGTGAACTTGTCCGGCCTTGTTTAACGCACCGCGGTTCGGTTGGCTCTCTCGCATATAACTTATACAATATAGTATCCGTCGAGTATGCGTTTATTGGTGACAATATATTAATAAAAAAAACCTTTCTGAAAACTTTACTTTAAACTGGTGTATAGACTTACATTAAATACAGTGTGATTCGCCAGATAGTAAAACAATAGATTTTTAAAAAAAAGATTTTCGGTCGGTTCCGACTTTTAACGCAGTACAGTGATAATAACGTTAACTGATAAGAATTCCACTGATAACAAGTAGTCGGCACGGTGATAACATGACAGATTACTGATAACATTTCTTTGACCGCACTGTACAACAGAAGGATTATTTTTCCCTTTTTTTAAATTTTTATCAAACATTAATTTAAAGTATTTGTATTAATTTTTTTCATTCAGAAGCTAGATTTACGTGGGAAGGGGTAAATTTTGAAACTGAGTATTCCGTTTAACCACTTTGAACACACTGTACAACAATAATATTATAATAAATTGTTTCAATTGACTGCCTTATGGTTCGTTCGCAAGGAGATCAGTGTAGCCGCACGAATTATTATGAATTATTGTCGAGATATTGTATTTTACAATTCAATCGTAAACGATAAACTCTTAACTATATATTATCACAGATTAAATACAATTTCTTTGTATCTAATCTGTGCTATATTTACAACCTGTTGTAAAACTGCTCGCTCGAATGCGCTGATGTGGTCACACTGATTCCGTTTTCATACGGTCTGCGTTCGTTCTCCTATACCCGCAATAATATTGTTTTCTCTATTACACGTCTTTTGGATGTTAATTTTTTTTTCTTTTTTTTTATCAACTATAGCACCTCAACAAGCGACCACTCCTCCCGCCACCGCGGTGGCTAACCGCGGGTCCGCCACGCCCGAAGATATCCGAATGGTATCCGAGAACCCGTGCAACTTAGACCCCAGCGGATCGCCCGGCTCGTCCGAACTCTACAACCAACAGTCGGCGCCACAACAACAGCTCATGCAAAACCACAGATACCAGCAACAACAGAGGGACCATTACCAGCACAGAGCCCGTAAGTGCCGACAAAATCATAATGTAGAATATAAATCCACTGAGAAACGCTTTTAAAAAAACGGTTATGAACCGTATATCAAATTGCAAACAAATAGCACGGTTGAATTCACAAAAGTGTACAATTTTCAGTGGCCAAGATAAATTCACCCCGTAGTTGAATTTTTCACCACTAGAGTGCGCGAACAAAATTGGCAATTGTACTTGCACACATCGTTTCAAATCACTTCGACTCATCTGAGCGCGTCTCTTATGTAGCAATGTCTTTTACAATGGAGACGCTGCATTTATTTTCTTAGCTGTCTGCGATTTCCCATTTGCCAAATCCTTTATAATATACTGCGTATAATTTACCCAGCAATCTTAGCTAAAACGGCTCTGCAGTGTGTACATCATAATATGTACTATATTTAGTACATATTTTGAACTATTATGTAACGGTAAAATATAGATACAAAATTATTAACTGACTGGGCTGGCATCGAAAAACTCGTTTTCCTTATTTTTTGAGGTACTGCATTTTGAGTCTGGCAATATATTATATGAAATTATTCTACATCAATGTATTATTTATTATCACCAAATTATGTTATGCGTGGACTGTGGACACCACGTTTTCCTGCTTAATCGGGATAAAAAAAAATGTATATATTGGTCATTGGCATGGATAAAAATGCACTTGCAGATAACACTGATGAGCGTACACGACCGACATGATATTACTAACACAATAATATGGCGGTTACTCATCCGAAGTCTGGACTGGCATTGAGTGCTGATGACGTATTATCATTTTTTTTGTTTGTTTTATCCATACTAAAAAAATCTGAAAAAATATTGTAATTTAGTTCCAGCTTACATTTTATTTAGACAACACATTATAATGTTATAATACTTACAATAGGTTGTTTTTTTCCCCAAAAATACTTTACAGCTATAAAGCGTAAAGATGGGGGGGGGACTGCGTTTGATTTCTTGTTTTAATTAAAATTATATAAGCTTTTTTTTTGCTCGGTCTAACCTTCTCTTCACGGTTGTTTACCGCTTTAAAATCTGTAAGGAGTCAAAACGTGAATCCGAGAAAACCCCAAAACAGCAGCGTGTACAACTTCTTAGGAAATCCTTGTAAAAAACCAAATTATCTTACATTCTGTAATGTGTTCGAATCGAAAAAACGGTGGTGTTCAATAAAACTAAGGTCAATATTTTTTATGGTGAGAAGGGAGGCAGTGATGGCGGGGCTGTGATAATTTTGCTTGAGACGCAACAGTGTTGCCAACCGCGGCGGGGATTTCACCGAAAATAGGAGATATCACAGGTGTGTTGCATCTTGGGCGACGACAAACGAAACACATTGAGTTTTCTCTGTTAATAATAATAATAATATAATACCGCTCGAGCCGTTTATAGGTGTTTTTTTGTTGTTGTCCAAGACACTGGCGACAATAATAATAAAATAAAAAACCAATCCACTCGCATTGCTCGCGTCCGAAGACGATTATTATCATGTTATAAAATCATAATAATATGCATAGAAATCCGTATAATACCTATACTGTATATAATGTGCACCTAGACGTTATTATTACACGTTATTTTTTCGTTATAATAAACAGCTCCTATTGTTGTCGTGCTGCAATGCAATCGTTATAGCTCATCAGAGTCACGGTCGAGTGGTGCACATAAAATCGCTTGCCCCCTTCCATTTTCATTATAATATACTGTGTTTACCGATTTCCACGGTTCTTTGTTAACTCTTTACCTGCGTTAACCCTACCCACGTACAACGCCCATCTTCTTCGAAGAAAAATGGCTGCTGTGTTAAAATTGTATTCGTGTAGGTACTCATAATATACCCACTTCCAGGCGGTTACTACTGTTCTAACGCGAATTAAGAGCGACAAATTGACCATTGTCCTCTGGCCAAATTTAATTTAAACAATGCAATGCTGTAGATGTAGAATAATGAACCTAACCTAACCTCTACACCGGGAAAAAATCATAATAATATAGTCGGATCAATTTAAACAGTTATTATGATGGATAATGTCGGGACACAACAATACCTAGTTGGAAAGACCATTTATAGTCCAAAACCATGTTTTCTTTATTGTAGAAATAACCTAGTAAATAGTTCGGCAACTATATAGGTTAGGTTAGGTGCAGTAGGAGGACACTGTAACAATATTGTGCAGTAGGCAATTTAAAATGTGCAATTGACAACGGTTATGTGCACATGAGAAATATATATTATGATATCGTAAAATATAGGCCTAATTTGAATCTGTGTGTCTTGATTAGTACATACTGAACAATTTTTGGTTTATTTACAAATTTGCCTTTTTTTCAACTTATAGTTTATAATATATTTTTCCCATTAGACTCTTAACACAATTTTTTTCATAAAACTTCATATTTTTACAATTTTGTCTTTATACCTACCATTATTATTGTTTTTAATTTTTTATTTCTTCCAAATACTTCTTGCGCTTCTTTAGCACCCAGCCGGTCTCAATTACATTTGTTCATCACGATTAACTTTGTCAAGGTTGAACTATTATTATTTGATTGCGTGAACCACCAGTGTATTATACTATTTTGGTTTTCTTAAGAAAAGATTGTGTAAAGAACACACTACTGTGGACCACATTTGTGACCAGACTGTCTATAACGTCCGATGATGGCGGACAAACATTTCTGTCATATTTTAGGGAAATTTTCAATTTTCACTTAAATTTTTTTTTTATATGCCTACAAAAACTAAATTACCCAATTATTTACTACTTTTTTTTGACATGGATTTGAGGATCATTCTGAAAATAAAGTTAAGAGTATCCACACTTCATGCAGATACATCAAGTTGCAGCGTATATAAGGGTATAAAAGGATATATTAGGTTATATAAGGATTTATAAGGATATATTAGGGTATATAAGGATATATGAGGATATATTAGGGTATATAAGGATATATTAGGGTATATAAGGATATATTAGGGTATATAAGGATATATTAGGTATATAAGGATATATTAGGATATATTAGGTATATAAGGATATATAGGATATTAGGATATATTGGATATATTAGGATATAAGGTATATAAGGATATATTAGGATATATTAGGATATATAAGGATATATTAGGGTATATATGGATATATTAGGATATAACGACAAGAAAACTGAGTAAACTCGGTTAAGAGTATCCACACTTCATGCGGATATCAGCACATATCCATGCATTGATGTATCTGCGTGATGTATGGACACTCTTGACTGAGTTTACACAGTAACCGATGGATGATTATAATTTTTTACTATTGTTGTTTTGTTTTTTTTGTTACAGACCAACAACAACATCAACACCGGTACACGATGGACAGTTTCCACGGTGAATCGTATCCCGGCGGCAGTCCGTACCACATGGACTCGTCGGCCGTCGGCTCGTCCGCCTATCTGGCTGCGGCGGCTCCACCGCAAACCGTGCCCAACGGCAACAACGCACAAAACTCGGTCGTGGTGAACAACTCGGTCGTGGTGAACCACCTGTGGCCCAACGTGCCCGCGGACTCGTCCAACTCCGTGCACTTGCAACACTTTATGCAACAACAACAGCATTACTTGCAGCACAACAACAACCATCAAATCCACTACAACAACCAGGCGCACCAACAGCCGCAACAGCAACAGCAGCAGCAGCAGCAGCAGCAGCACCAGAGCCATTTGCTGGGAATGGGCGCCGCCGGCAACATGATTCAGCAAGACATCAAGCCCCAAGTGATGCCATCTCCGGCCCAGCTCATCGCCAACGGATACACGCCTAGTAAGTCCAAGTTCAACGATACTTAAGATTAGCGGTGATTAGACTTGGCCGGACCGATGAGATTGTTCGATCGAACAAAAACAATCATATTGATCTGACACATGGATATGTCCTGTAAACTAGTATCTCTTATCCGCTATCCATAATCCACTCCTCCACGAGCCTCTTTATTACCGTTCCATAATTCCTTAATCCTACTCCGCACTCCTCCATAATTCCTTAATCCTTCCCAATAATCCTTAATACTCCTCCATATCCTTATAATATATCCTGCAACTTGATGTATCTGCATGTCAAAATCTATGATTTAGTTAAATGAAAATATTTGAATTTGATATTTACATTAATTACCTGTGTTGTTTATTTTCAACAGCCGGAGGACCTTGTTTCACCGGGAGCGGACCGATACAGTTGTGGCAATTTCTCTTGGAGCTGTTGACGGACAGACAGTGTCGACCGTTCATATCGTGGACCGGCGGCGACGACTGGGAGTTCAAGCTGACCGATCCGGACGAGGTGGCCCGCCGTTGGGGCGTGCGCAAGAACAAACCGAAAATGAACTACGAGAAGCTCAGCCGAGGCTTGCGGTACTATTACGACAAAAACATCATACACAAGACTGCCGGCAAAAGATACGTCTACAAGTTTGTGTGCGATCTCGAATCGCTGCTGGGGTGAGTGTCGATAAAATATATATTTGAAAAATTGTTGTCATTTCACAGTACAAAAGTAAATACAATTTTAATGTTTACAGATACAGCGCGCGCCAGTTGCACGCCCTCGTCGAGCCGGAATGTGCCGTCAAAGACGAATAAAACCAAAACCTACGACAACATGCGCACAACAACCGCGTATACTAGATCTATGTATCGCCGATGATATGAAGACTGAGCCCTGCCCACAACCCTTATGATTATTATTATTTTTTTTTTTAATTACTACCCATATTTTATTTATTATTTTTTTATATTATATAATTTAAAAAAAAAAAAATAATAATAATATTAATAATTATAATATTATAGAGACAATAATTTTTTTGACATTCTCGTGATAGTCGCAGCGTGTATACCAATTTTATTATTATATTTATAGTTTATATAAAAATATATTATATCGTGTAAATATATTTTCTTTATTACCGAATTTATTCTGTTGAGAGCGTGTTGTACAAATTTACCGAATTATTATATTAATAATTTAAGGACTTACATATATATATATATATATATATGTATAAAACATTGATGTGTAATAATGTTGATACGTCATGATATTATTTTAAATCGTTTATAACGATCATTACCTTAATAACGATCAATTAAAAGCTTACACTGATTAAATAAAAGAATAAACGTGTACTCGTGTGTGTGTGTAACGTTAAATGTCGTCAGAACGTTTTTACTTTATTAGTTTTATTTTTATTTTATTATTAATTTTTTTTTTCTTTCGCGGAGACGTTATAAGCTATATTACTATGCAGAAATCATTTTAATCATTCATATATATGTTTATATACGGTTATTATATTTTGTACATATTTACCTCTACGATATAACGACTTTAAGTGTTTATGACAAATCTTTCGTGTAAATATTTTCTAAATTATTAAGACTGTTGGTATATTTAACTGAAAATAAAAACACCAATAATTTATAATTCTGTGTTGTCGATTTATTTTGCCCACAATCTTATGAAAAATCATTCCCGCGCCTTTCACAGATTTAAATGTATCGTTGGCTTCGGTTAGGCTATTTTCATAACTATGTTGCCAGGTACGATTTACGTAAACATCCAAGTACAACCTGTTTTAATTTTGTCGAAAGGTCTACACGAAACCGACTCGTCTGCCTTAGTCTGAACTATTTTTTTGTTATTTGTCGGGCAATAATGCAGTACAAGACTTACGGTTTACTGTTGTGGTGTTGCTCTCAGATGTAAGACTTGTATGTTTCTTAAATATTGCCTATGCAAAACTCCTTAAAAACCGACCGCATGCAATCCCACATACACAACGATGCTACACAAGCCATTTTTAAGGAGTAAAGAATAGGCAATTTTTTGAAAAAATCTTTATAGTTTGAACAATAATGTACACTTATTAGTGCAGTAATGAGGATACCGCCATCTCTATGGGATAAATTACAATCTTTTTTGCCATCAAAACAGTTTTTGCGGATTAATTTTTGATAATGCAATGCACTAGTATAGTAAATAAATATATATATAGTTATCAATGACTTAATAACTAATCTTATTTTACTATTTTTTTTTTGTGTAAAAAAGTATTTGAAAAAAAAAATCACCAGATATTATGACCACCTAATAAGTAAATAGTTGTTTGTCATAAGATATTTTTTATTCGTTGATAACATTTTGTATTTTGTTCAAAATGCGTTGGTTAAAATTATTCAACAACAGACTTTGGTTTGGTTTCATAGCCTACTTATTGAAAATTTGTAACATTGGTCTACCATTATTTTTTTGTAAATCCTGATGTGGAATCATACATAAAACTATAATTCTATAACTATATCGAATAGATGTGTTTTAAAAAAAAATTGCTAGCTGAGCAGAGAAAGATTTATCTAAAAAAAAAAAACAAATTGCTAAAACATTAGAGTTTTCCCCCCAATTTTTTTTTATAATGATTGTTTCTACAGCGTTTTTAAAAATAAATAATTTTACAATATCAAAAAAGTAATAATCGTTGTTATTTAAAATTATAACTACATTGATTGACATTAGTAATTATTGAACTGTCTTACAATTAACCCAGTTTTATAAAAATTAATTTTATTGAGTGAAAAAAATGATTTCAAAAAAAGTTAAACGCTTTCAAAAATAATACAATATAAAGCACATCAAAATTGTTTAAAAATACTCTACTTATTCAAAAAGACACTCAATAAAAACAATGAAGCTCGATTATTTGCCAGTGTGAATAAACAGCGTGGCCAGATATTGATTTAGAAAAAAAGCCAATAGGAAAAAGACCAGAATTCGACTAAATAAACAAATTCAAGATTTACACGGTTAAGAAAAATAAAACAGGAGCTAGATGAAATATTATGGCAACTAGATTGAATTAAATAAAAGGCCATAGTTTAGTGTTTAGGGTGATCATATTTATTTAAAAAAAAAAACGGTACTCACCATATTGTCAAAACTCTAAATAAAGACCTTCGACAAAACATTTGAAATCACTTTATTCATATTTTGATAATAACAATTTAAATTTTTTTAAGATGTATTACTTAACGACTCGTTTGAATTTCTTATGCTTTTATTATTATAACTATTAGTTCACATACTATCTTTAGTTATATTTTTTCATACACTTCAAGCAGTATAGGTAAATGTTTTTTTTTGTTGTTGTAAAATTGCTCCTCGATGAGCATCATTTAACAGGGTTGCCACCCTCTTTGAATTCGGTAATTTTCCCTTTTTTTCCCACACAAAAAATGTATTCTTTATTTCAAAATACTTTTTTTTTAAAGAGCTATTTTACAACTGGCTATTATCAAGTCGGCGTTTAATCCGAAATTTCACTACTCTCTCCACGCTTATGTAAACGCATAAAAAGGTTAGTAGCAAAAGCCGGACAATCGGCCAACTTGGCAACACTGGACCCGCCTAATGGAAGTACTATCGATCCACCCCAGCTGCCCTAATATAATATTACTATAGACCCATCTTTTTGGAAGAGGGGACAATTAAATCAATAAACCTTACCTATTATCCGGTATACTGTAAAGGCTGTGTAGCCTTTAGGGCGTAGGCAGCTGTATCCACTGTTTAAAAGAGTCTATCGCATAGCTGTGGTGCACATTATCGTTTGACAGGATTTGTTGTGTAAGTATTTTTTTTCTTCTTCGTATAAATATATCATTCAAATATAAAATGTCGATCATTTTATATTACCTACATAACATATTATATAATTACCGATTTGAGATTTCTATGATTATTCTCCATAATAATATTAATATTTTGATAAGATTTGGTTCCATTTCCTACATCGTTTTGTAATTGAAAAAAAAAATTATAAATAATTTATTTTATTATTGTCCAACGGGTTCTATCTACCTACAATTATAATTTATATTGTTGTAATTACTATTGTAGGTATTTTATATTTTTTTCAGACATGGCAATATTGGCCAGATAAGATAAAACTTTATCTTAACTGTGTTGTATTTATCGTGGTGTGTAACACTTATCACATATTTTCTGTATTTACTTTTTAGTGTTTACTAATATTCGCATTTGGCGTTGATTCGTGTTGATCGTTTATTGGATTTTTTTTCTAAATAATTCGATTTCTTGGTCATTACTACAAACTGGCGAACAATCTAATGACACGGCTATACGTCCGGGCTAAATTGCATTATTGTTCGCTATAGTCAATTAGTTTTGTAGGTTTACAATCGGTAGGTACACGATATAAAACCCAATCAAAAACGATTTTGGCGTATAATTAAATTATTTAGAACGTCAAGACGTATTCTGCAATCACGATAATTTGTTTTTATTTATTAATTTATCTATTTCATCCTAACACGGATATCGTTTACTGTTAACAGGTTAGCTGGCTGTCGTCATGTCTGAAACACATAGCGTAAGTCCTTTGGAAAAGTCAACAATACTGCAGTATTAAATTTGCATTTTGTTAATGAAATATTTCAGAATAACGAACTTGACGAAAGTGAAATCGAACAGAGCGAACACAAAAACTATGACAATTGGAGGAAAAACGCCAAACTGCCGCCGATCGACACTACGTCCGGATCGAGTTCAAACACTGCGAGTCTTTTATTTTTTTATCTCATAAAACGTTCTGACGGCGGTAAAACTTAAATTGCATAATAATTATAAATCAGCTTATAAACGACTTGACACGAACCCAAAAATGTTGTGGTGTTATTTTATGATTTACACTAGTTAAACCGTTTTGAAATCCGTGAAAAAACATTTAATAACAAACGATAATAATAACAAATTAGTAACAATACAACTATAAACGCCTGTTTATTAAATTTATTTGCTTACATACGAGGCTACCAAAACAATTGATTTTATTTTTCTAAATGACTTAACATTGATAGATTAGATAATATAAATGTGTAGTGCGTAAGCGATGGCTTTTATTGAGGAAAACATTTTATTGAAACGGTGTAAAAAATGATGTTCTGCTAAATAAGTTTTTTTAGTTTTTAGAATAAAATATAAATTTTGTGGGAAACACAGATGCATGTTTGTCGCTCTATTTTAAAATAAATTGTGATACAAATTTATAAAATAAAATCTCTTCCTACTGGGAAAGACATTGAATCATGAACATGTTTTTTGATGTTGCACAAAAATCTGACTCAAATTTTTTTTAATGCCAATTACAACTATTGGAGTTACGTCAATTCCGACTTTGGTTGATTAATTACGTTTGAGGGATAATTAAACTAAGAATTGTGTCTATAAAATATATTTTTCTATTTTGTATTTCATAAAAGAGCTATCGTTAATGGGATGGTTTTAATTGTGTTGATCTAGTTTTTTTTAATTATTGATAAACATGTCACGTAAAAAAATTAGTTTCTACCAATGTTTGTTTATTAATTATGACTTTAATATTGTTTCTTAGGAGAAATCTAACACTTCGGTTAAAGAAAGAACAAAGAAAAAAGTAAGTTACAATTTGTACACGACATTAATATTTATAAATAATTTGAAGGCCTAATATTTGTAATACAAATATACTATACCTATTCTAACTTGTAGTGTATCGTTGTATGCCTCAAACGTTTCCATCAAAGTATTGAATTTGATATTTTTATAATACAGTTTATTAAGTACCTATTTTATTTACACAAATAAAAAACTAACTAAAAATTGGGATTTTTCAATACTAATATTGAATTATTTTTTTTTTGATTGATGTCTAACAGTTAAATAGTCCATAATATTTCTATTACTAAGTAAACATTAAGTAGGTACACAATAAGAATGGATAGCGTAGTTTTAATAATTTAAATGATAATAATAATAAAAAAATAAAGTTGTGCCTAAGCAAAGACTAAAAAAGTCAAACTATGTTTTGTAATATCAGATTATGTCTATAATACAATTTCTATTAAAATACAAAGTAAATAAATAGTATAACGGCAAACTAAGTCCGTTTTTTTTTTTTTAAAACAATATTAAGCTTTTCAGAATTAATTAACGTCAAACAACTGACAGTTTTTACGGTTTTTTTTATTTCAGAAATCCATTTTGAATAATCAAAGGCGCCGAGTCAACTCAAACAATCGTGCCGCGGTACAAAATTGACAATCATTAAAAATACATACTTAGAAATTATAAAATTTCTTCAACGAAATAGTTTGTTTAATTTGATGACGATTGTCTTAACGAAATGCGTTGGAAAAAAAAAGTAATTTTTGTCAGCAATCAATTTAACCCTTGGTTTTTGTTTTGTATTTTTCAAAGAACAATCCACCGATGTCTTATGCTCCGGTGCCTCCATTTCCGAGAAATTTGAACAAGTTGCCGAAAAGCGATCGAGAAGCTATCACAGCGATGTTGATGTCGTACTATATGACCGGATACAACAACGGTAAAACGTTTATCTGGTTATTACTTTTGTACAACCGAAATGTTATTTCGTTTGTTCGGAGATAACGTATTTTTGTTTCCTACGAATACATCTGACTTAGCTTTTATTTGTTTTAGGATACTACAGTGGAATTACCAAAGACAATCTCAATGACTGAACACAAACCGAACAGCTTCTTTTAAAACGTTTACGCATCTTAACCGTTTGTCGTCGAAAACCCACCTTTTTCCAGCCGTTCTCACTTGCACATACTTATATTTAATTTTGTCATTAACTCGCACGATATTCCTCCTAATCATTTTAACTGTTAAACTAATCTTCATGTAATCTTTTTTTTTCCATAACGTAAGATATATTTTATTATTGCCAACTTATAACACAATATATTAGTAAAAAACTATATTACCAATATTATACATTACAAGCTGTGGATCAACAGGGTCGTGTTAATTCAAAAGGCTGCAACTCTAACTGAAATTTTATTATATAATATCTTAAGCTTTAAACTATTGTTGTGTATTTATATATTCGTATGTTCATAAAGGAGACACACAATTAATAAACTTTTGACATTTTCTTTAACTACATTTCGGTAGTTGGTTTTTTGACCATATAAAAACATTTGTATATAAACTGTGCATATAACATAAAACATTCGGTGAAAATCAGTACCTTCGCTTTTCCAAGCGGATATACTTGAATTTGTTTGTACAAAATAATCATTTTTAGAGCGGTTTTTTATTGACATTGTTGTTTTTATTTAAATCACCAAAAAATGTATTTAATTGTGTTGGACAAAATATAATGTGCTCAAAGTTGTAACACAATTATTAAAAAAAAAAAAAAAGACACGCTATAATAAGTACGGGAAAAAATATTTGGGCATCATACGACATTTCCGACCGTAGATCTATTTAATAAAATAATTAATATTTGCCTATATTAAATCTGTTTCAATTTGTTATTTCATCGATCAATTTTTTTCCACGTAACCGTATTAAAGTAAAATTAGTTTTTTTTTTTGAATCGCTAAATTTATTTGCAACTAATGTGTATTTAAACGGTAATGACAGTATTATCATAGAAAAGTTAGGGGCAATAGAAATCATGTTAATTATTTCAAATTGACTATATCTATATGTAATAACTTTAAAAAAATAATGATCATTAAATAAAACACTCCTGGCTAATTAATTTAATGTAGTATTTTAAGTCGCCAATTTGTTGCCAAGTCTTTACTTCCGTTTAAATTAGGCAAATAAACCGACGGAATATACTTGTTTTTTATAGAACACAAATTAAAATATACTGCACAGAATTCTATCTTGATAACAATATTTTTACTTAGTTTTTTAAAAAAAATTATTTTCACTAACAGTCTTTACGAATAAAAGAGTAAGATAATATAACAACTAATTTAAACGCATATGTTCGTATCTATACTCATTTCTTAAATTTAAAACAGTATAAACATGATCATATTTTAAGTCTAAGCTTTTCAACACTATGATAAAGAAATGGCTTTGATTTTAAATGCAATTCAGTATGTAACATGACACATCATTTAATTCATATTTCTTTACATTGAAATTGTAAGTTGCAGCACATACTATTATATTGTTGGCACTTTATTCTTAAATAATTTAACTTGTTTATTTAGATTAAAACGCTGAAGTTTAAGTCAATATGCTCAAACAATAACTGTTAACCATTTATTGATTGTCCCTGTTCATTTTTACTTGTTCTACTGATACACCTGAGAAAAGTATATAGCTATTTTCTAGTTAATAATAATACCATTTAGTATTTTTGTAAAATATAGATTGATCATTAGATCGTGAACCACTCAATGTCTCATAGAGTTTAATAAGAATTTTTTTTTTTTTCATAATGTTATTTACTATGTGATTTTAATATTTTATAAATAGTTGTTCAAAGTTATCAACCAATCAAAATTGTTGGTACATTATTCTCATTTTGAAATGTTAATGAAATATATGCGTTAATGTTTAAGTCTCAAATATGGCTATCAAAAAAACTTAGTTGGTAGGAGGTAAAGACAAAAAAAAAATTGTGAAAAATTGAGATCTCATTGTATAAAAACTTAAAACAGTATAAATTTTTCTCATTAAACCCTATGAGATATTTAGTGGTTGACGGTAAAATGATCATTCTGTATATATAATATAAAAATATATATTATTGTTTTATCTTACAGCTTGGCTGTTGCTTGTTTTTCAGATAAATACAACTTACTAAAAAGTGCACAAGCAATAAATGTAGGCCAAATGGCACACGGTATAACAGAACCAAAAATTATTGCTAACACAGTAAACACATAAATTACAATTTTTTCAGCTGACACTAGGTGAGTATTGTTGTGTATATTTTTCCAAATTTATGATACATTGTGTTTGATTTATTATACACAAGTGTTACTTTTTTGCCTAAATAATAAGGTGACTTAATCTCAAACGTCTCTAAAACAATCCAAGTGTTCTAGGCTAAACAAAATCTCCTGAGTGGCTAAATTATTAAGTATAGCGTCAGATAGGTATAACAAGTGGGCTGACACTTAATGGAAATAAATGATTTGATAACACATATCATAATTTCTAATTTTATTTCATATTCCAGCCTCGCTATTTCACTTCCAACCATTCCATTTCCTTCTAACGGACCTTCAACTTGTTAATTATACCTTTTGTAGTTCCACACATTAAAAATGATTGAATAGATAAAATATAAAGCTGATACACTTGAAATGGTACTCACTAAACTCATGTTAATCAAGGATTTGTTAGTATAAAGTAATTTTAATAAAAAATGTCTTCTGTCTCCCCTTTCATAAATTTCTGCTATTTGATGATGTTCATAGTGCTATACTTTACCAAGTTGGTAGCCTAAAATATACTTAAGTCTACTAAACAAATGTTATTAGTCCCACGTGTGGTTCTCCACTAATCTAATAATCTATCTATCCAGTATCCGTTTGTTATTTTTCCTAAGGGCTTACAATTTTAATCAATAGTAGCCTATTCAAATAGGTAATAACTCAATAAAATTTTAGAACTCCAGCTCAACTCTAAGAACTTCCTCATGATATTTTCGTCTTGCATTTGATTAACTCAGAGGATTTTAATTTCTCATTAAAAAAGTTCTAACTTTAAAACTAATCAACATTTTTTAATTTGGAAATTTAGTAATTTTTTTCATTTAAGTAGGCTTCTATAGATTGAATGTGTGGGGTAAGCAATACATGTTTCTTATAAGTATAATTTTCCAATTTATTTTTCTGGTATAAATGTGTGTAATGTTTTCTTCTTCAACTGTAGGTTGGCTCTGTTCAGGTCTAAAGTTAGTTCCCAATTCTAAATTTTATTTATTCTGCAATCATATTTATTATCTACGTTTTATTTTTTCTCTTAAAAACTATTGCCGGCCAATTTCATAATTTAAATTGTTTTTATGACTTATAAATGTTTATCCTTTTATTAAAGGATAAACTTATAGTAATTTTGTGATTATATCACCACGTTTATTTCGAATTCGGGTAAAAACTTCTCTCTAAAGTTGATAGAGCTCGGTAACATACTAAAAAGATAGATATTTAGTAATTTTATAATTTTAAATAAAAATATTAGAAATATTGAGTTTTTTACGTTAAATAGACCATCCGGTATCGCATTTATAATGCAAAATCAATATCGCAGCTGTTAAAGATCACTTGAAGAATATAATGAGAATAACAACAGACTGTGTGATACAACAAACAATTGCCAATAACAGCTTTGCTATGGACCTAAAGCACAGTAAAAAAATGTTAAAATGTATATGTGCTTTTGGTTTTTCTTAAATAAAAATTTAGAGAGCATAGTGGAGAACCTTTTAGCATAGTAGTGACGAATCCGAGGCATATTATTATTACGATAATTTAGGTGCACACATTTGCAACAAGTTTTATTTAAGTTAGTTTTAATCGTTTATGATTTTGTTTTGGTCTTTGGACTGTACAGATTTTTCCCTCATAACTTTAAGGATTGTTCTAAGAAAGCTTAAAACCAATTCAACAACTTTTCAGGAAGATTTATTTCTGTTTAATGTCTGGAAAGTACCTTAGGCAATCCGACAATGTAGCCTATGTCACACAGTGATCAGAAATTAAAATTAGCTTGAAAAAAACAAATGAATTTCTCATTAAACCCTATGAGATATTATGTGGCTCATCAAAATTTAGAGTTATTTAAATTTTTCCAAAAACTCAGTTTTGTAAAAGAATATCTTGTTTCATTTAAGTATAATATTTGAAATACCATTTTTAAATTAATAATTCTCAATGTAACAGTCTGAAAGTATATCATTCAGTTGATGTTTTAGAGAGTAGGACAGCAACAATCAGTATTGGGTTTTTGAATCAGTTTTGAAGGCGGTCTATGTCAAATTTTCGTTCCATAATTTTGTTATTAATAGTTATAGTAAATCTGAAGGATCCTGACAGTTAATGGCAATTGTATGTCTATAGGAAATTTATAAGTACTTTATTCTGTTTCAAGTTCATCAAAACTTTTTGTTAATTTTCTATAATCTTCGATTGGCGTTAAATTTAACTGAAGATCTTTCAGTGCATGTAATTGAGAAGTCGTCCGAGGTTTGATTGGATAAAGAATCGTGAAAGTCATAATTTGAAGTAGGTATTACATTATTCATAAATTGGTTATACATTTAAGGACTAACGTTATCTGATGGTGTAAGAAATCTGTCTCTTTCTTGAAGTGTCTGGTAGGTTTTGAGTTTGGGATGAACTACTTATTTTATTAGGAGACATTGGATGTTTAAAGGAAAAATTCAGAAAATAATTTAGTAATCAGAACGCAAACGACAACTTGAAAAGACATTTTTTTCTCAAACAAATACCTAACGATAAATATTTAAAAATTCAACCTACCTAAATATTGTATAGAAAGACAAATTAAGTGAGAACAAGATAAATGCTCAGTGGTAGAGCTTGGTTATGTGATATTTAGTATTCCAAATTCGTATGCCCTTTTAAATTGATGTTATAATTTAATTCTTATTACAAAATTATTACTAAAGAAATTGTACAGTAAATTGATAATACAAACATAATTGATAATGTATAATAACTCACATTGATTATATTCTAATATATATAATTGTAAATTATTATTATGGAAAATAATAAAAATAAAAATGTGTAGTGTAACAAGATTGGTGCATAAAAAAAATAAACGATAATAAATTATGTGTAAAATGTTAGGATTTAAGTGCATAATGAACAACTACTAATGAATGTTAAAAAAAAACCGGTTATGAAGACGAGCATGCTAAATTTGTTTAATCTAAATTGTCTGTTAAGTTAAGTCCATAGTAATATATATATTATATTCAAGATATATTATAAAGTATTGAATTGCAAAATCAGCGGTTTACATATCAAAATTATCATTCGTTTCGTCGGTTTCAGCTGAACCAGATGGATGATCCATTTCAAAGAACCAACGGACAAATACAGCGTCCGTCGGAGTTAACATTTCACGTAACTGACTTGTATAGCTTTTAAGGTG